ATTCTACTCAGAGCAGTTCAGTCCCTCCTGATCTCTCCTGGCTTACTGCAACAGCCTCCTCGCCTCGCCATTTCTTTATTCCACTGCCTGACTGATTCTCAAGTGATGCTTCTAAAATGCAGGTCTGGTGATTTCATCCCCTTGTTGGTGTGGGTGTTGTGGTTGTTGTTAGGTGCCGAGTTTGTTCTGACCCACAGCTACCCTGTGCCAACAGCACTAAACACTGCCCAGCCCTCCCCCACACCCACATCTGACCCCGGGCTTGAGCACGCGGTGGCAGCCCATCTCCGTGAGGGCCGTCCTGTTTTTCGCCGTCCCTTTACTTTACCAAACATGATGGCCTTCTCCAGGAACTGTTCTCTTCTGACAACATGTCCAAAACATGGAAGACGAAGAATTGCCATCCTTACCTCTAAGGAGCACGCTAGCCTTACTTCTTCCAAGACAACTGTGTTGGTCCTTTTGGCAGTCCATAGTATCTTCAGTCTTCTTTGCTAGCACCATAACCCAAATGCATGGATTCTTCTTCCGTCTTCCTTATTCAATGTCCAACTTTCACATGTATGTGAGGCGATCGACAAGATATTTGTTTGGGTCAGACTCACCTTAGTCCTCAGCGTCGTATGCTTGCTTTTCAATTATCTAAAGAGGTTATGCAGCTGATTTAAATGGAGATCGTCTTGTGGTCTCTTGACTGATGCTTCCTTGAGCATTAATTGTGGGTGCAAGGAAGACAAAATCCTTGACAGCTTCCATCTTTTCTCCATGCTTCATGATGCTACCTATTGGCCTCGGTGTCAGGATTTTGGTCTTCTTTACATTGAGTCCTAATCTATTCTGATGGCTACAATCCTTGAACTTTATCAGCAAATGCTTCAAGTCTTCAATTCTCAGCAAGTTAGGTTGCGTGATCTGCATGTCGCAGGTTGTTAGTGAGCCTTCCTTCAATCCGGATGCCACATTCCTCTTCACAGAAACCAGCTTCTCTGACCAGTTGCTCAGCACCCAGATGAACAGCTTTCCTGATTTTACACCATGTATTCCGTTGTTCTGTTTGCACAACTCTCTCTTGATCTTTGTACAAGTTCTGCACGAGTACCTCGAAGTGTTGTGGAATTCCCATTCTTCTCAAGTTGTCCATGGTATGTTATGGTCCACACAGTCGAATGCCTTGCCATAGTCAATTAGACAGAAGTAAATGCCTGTCTGGTATTCTCTTCTTTGAACCAAGATCCTTCTGACATCAGCAGTGATAGCCCTTGTTCCACGTCCTCTTCTGAAACTGGCCTGAACTTCTGGCAGCTCCCTGTCAATGTGCTGCTGCAACTGGTATTTGCATGTGCTAGCAATGATATTGTTCTATGATTTGAGCATTCTGTTGGCTTTCCCTTCTTTGGAATGGGTATAAATATGCGTCTCTTCCAGGCAGTTGGCCGAGTAGCTGTCTTCCTGCTGTAGACACGTGAGTGCTTCCAGTGCGTCATGCACAGTTTAAAAAGAAAAAGTTCTGAATTGGATTCCCTAGTCCTCAGAATGTAAATTACGACTGTGTTTTCATTTCTTCCTTTCTTTGGCTCAACCATTCAGTTGTCGTGAATGACTTGGTCATTGCTCACATGCAGCTTGCACCTGTTTAACCTGCTCTTCCCTCCTCATAGAATACCCTTCTTTCTTGATCAAATAGCCCTGTGGCCTAGCCTTCCTCTGAGACGCCCTTCCCCGCTCTCACCTCCAGTCTAGGTGAGCTCCCCTGTACCTTACGCTTCCCTTTGCCCTTCGTATTGTCCTGTCTCTGCAGCAGGTGCTCCTTGGAAGCAGGGACACTGTTCCATTCATGCTTGTCTCCCAGTGCCTGCAGCGTAATACACTCTCAGTACACTCTTCTTGAATGACTCAGTAATGCCCCTCTATCCAAACCTAACCTACCCAGACCCACGATGGCCCCGCATTGCAGAGCAGAATGATAGAGAGTGGGTTCTAGGGTGGGACCTCGCCGGTCGCCACCCTTTCTTCTGAGGTGTATCTGGGTGGGTTCAAGCTGCCAACCTTGCAGTTGGTATTCAAGCACTTGACCATTTATACCACATACAGTCCTTCTAAGATATGTCATTGCTTTTCCTACACTTCTTCCCCCCTCCACCAGCGCGCGGCGGACACACGTTATTGCTCTTTATTCTGTTGCTTATATCTTCCACCTAGACAGGACTGTAAATCTTCCTGTCCCCAGGAATCTGTGCTAGCCTCAGTGCCTTTGCTCATGCTGTGCATTGCATCCTTTCGTTGATCCTACAATGTTCATGCTTTTCTGCTTCTGCAAAACACCTCTTTAAAGTCCTAAAAAACAAAGATGTCCGTTAGAACATGTAAAACTGGTGTGGGGGCCACATATAACCTCCTCTGACTACGTAAGGGGGAAGGAGAAACCAACTCCACACCAGCCCGAGGCAGAGGTCAGACATGCATCTCTCCGCCATCTTTCTTGACTCTTTTCTGACACCAGCCTTCCTCCCACAGCACTCTACTTTTCTTCGGATTCCCGAATCTGTGGCAATGACTGCACAATGCTCACAGACAAGTCTTACAATTATGGAAGTGTTTTAGGAAAGTTAACCGGTCACAAGTCATGATCAGAAACCATTAACGGTACGGTTGAGTCATTTTGTCTGTAGCAGTCCCTCCTCTGAACCATACCTCCCATTAGCCCCTTGGCCTCTGTTCTGCTCTAGCGAGTGTTACAAAACTCCTTTCATGCTGATAAATGTCCAGAGGCACCCGCACCCGATCCTGCCCAAAGGCACTCAGCTTTACTCTCACAGCCTCCGCTGCCACTTCTTCCTGATCTCTGTTGCCAATGCTTCTCCACACAGCAGTCCTGTGTGGCCATGGCTCCTCCTTCTGCTGTCATGGCATTTTCTGTTTCTGCTTCTGACATGGCCCAGTTTATACCCAGCAGAATGGCAAAACCGACCAATCCCCGAGAGTTAGAGTCCTCTACACCTTATTTGCATGCTCCCACCCAGTGATTCTGTGGGAGTTCCAAAGGCTCTGGGTGAAATAGCCACATTAAGTCTGTTCACTTTGCTGCAGAACACCCAGGTGCACCTAACACAAGACATGGTTTTTTCAGTCACCTCATACGCATGTGAAACTGGACAATGAAAAAGGAAGATTTAAGAAGGATCTATGCCTTTGGGAAATGGTGTCCATGAAGAGTACTGACTATACCATGGATATCTAGATAAATGAACAACTCTCTCTTGGAAGTACATCCAGAATATTCCTTAGAATCTGGATGGCAAGACTCTGTTTAACTTACTTTGAGCAAACTAGTTTTTGTTTGTGTGTTTTAAATACTTTTATTGGGGGCTCTTCCATCTCTTATCACAATCCATACATTCCTCCAGTGTGTCAAGCACATTTGCACATATGCCACCATCATCATTTTCAAAGCATCCTCTTAACTTGAGCCCCTGATATCAGCTCCCTATTTCTTCGCCCGCCCTCCCCCACCTGCCCTCCCTCACGAACCCTTGATAAGTTATAGATTATTTTTTCCATATCTTACATCATCCTCCACTGCCCCTCCCCCACTTTTCTGTTATTGGTCCCCCTGGGAAGGGGTTCTAGGTTGATCAAACATACAAGTTTTTAAGAGGGAGCAATCCTTAAAGAAGGCTCAACACAAAAGAGAAGGTCTCGATATGATGTTCGTCCTCATGAAGAGATCACTGAAGATAGGGTGCTACAGCAAAGTGGGGTGGAGCAAAGAAACCAGATGGAATAGCGCCTCGGCTCTTGAAAGGCTTGTCTTCAAACAAGCAGCCATCTAAGTGAGGTGTCAACTAAGTCCGAGTGGAAGAAGCACACCAGCCTTTGATTCAAGGATTGTAAATAATAAAATCCAAATCAGTGGAGGGAATGATAACAGAGCTTACACGCTGGACACTTGGTTTGCAGAGGGCTATGGATGATGACAGTGGAAGCCCAGCATCCATTTACAGGGTCCCTACATGCATCAAGCCTCCAGTGAATCCCCTCAGAGCATAATCTAGGAATGTGAATAGCCTTGCTACCAGACCGAGAGCAAAGTGGACTTGATCATGGAAGATGGAGTTAAGTTAAAATGTAGTACTTCACCACTTAATCTCCCTTTTAATCCATTTTAGAATTCTTTCTTTTTTTTTTTTTTTTTGCTTCTCTTTGATTGAGGTTTTCCGATGTTTGGTCTAGTCATTATTACTGGGTTTTGTGTGTGTGTGTGTGTGTTTGGTTCCTGATTGCATTTTATATGATTTCCTGTGTATGAAATCTAGGATTGGCGGATCCATAGCGACAGTAACTGGACTGATAATTGCCTAGGGGCATGGCAGGGAGGATGAGGGGAAATGGGCAGTTAACAGCCATGAGAACAAGAAGCAAATGTCCTGAAATTGATTGTGGTGATGATTGCACAAATCTTCGTAATATGACTGAGCGATTAAATTGTATGATGTATGAAGTATATGCCAATAACACTACTTTAAAGAGAGAGCGAGAAGGCCCTCGGGGAGGTGAACTGATGCCGTATCTGCCCATAAATATCTCAAACACACAGCTCTGATATGAGAGGCATAGGACCAGGCCGTGTTTCCTTCTGTTACCCTGCTGAGTGCAGGTTAAACAGCAACCCCTTTATTCAAAACCCATCCTGTTATCCATCGCTTTATGAAACCGTTTTTACGTAACTTTCATTTTGATGCTTAACGACTCTCTTGCTTACACTTTATATCCTGATGGCTCTCCAATTGGTTGGCAGCTTTATTAGGACAAGGGTTATGTCTGATTTCCTTGTCCGCCACATCCTTTGTGGACCGCACACATCTTAGTCCATGTTGGCACTCAGTTGGCTCCTAAGAGGAGGCAGAGTTGCTTGAATGTGACTCTTCAGAATGGGGTGCACTTGTGGGTCCTTTGGATAAAGTGGATTTTTCTAATGTGATTTTTATTGATCTTGTTACCAGAGTACCCGAGAAGCCGAAATCAAGCTGAAAAGTGAGAGCAGAGTCACACTGTTTCACTTAGACCCTGATGCCCAGGTACGAGATGTCTTTCAGTATTTAACTACAGTATGGGGGTGGGAGGAAGAACATTTTAAGAGGGTTATTGTGTATTTGCTGGTTTATTTTGGATCGATAAGCAGTATAACAGCAATGTAGAAAATGTAGGGGAAGGTAAAAATGACCTGTAATCTTTTCAGCATAGCACGATGACTGGTAGCATTTGTTAGTGAACGCTGCTGTTGTTGTTACGTGGCACCGAGTCCATTCCAACTCAGATCGACCCTGCGTCTCGCAGAGCAAAGTACTGCCCAACCTTGGGCCAGCCTCACAATCCTGTTGGAGCCCATCATAGTCAGTCCTTCCCTGCCTTTCCAAGCATGATGTCCTTTTCCAGGGACTGGTCTCTTCTGATAACATGATAGTCAATAGGTGCTTGAAAATCAAGAGAAATTCACCAAAGATATTCTGAGCCTTCCCAGGTGCACAAAGGACAGACATGTAACCACATGTGTACCATAACTAACTACACATGTATATGCCCAGTGGACCATGAGGACTAGTCCAGACTCCAGGAAAAAGACGAGGCTTTCTGCTCCCATACCGAGTTACAGTCAGGGAAACTCACCAGGGCAGTTCACCTGTCCTATGGGGTCACTGTGAGTCAGCATCGGCTCGATGGCAGGGACATGAGCGGAGTCCAGACTCCCAGCTCAAGCACAAGCCATTCCGTGCCTCAGTCTACATCAGTGCCCCAACCAACCCCATCTCCTGTGTGCAAGCCCTTGAAGGGTTGCCCAAAGCTGCCCCGGCTACGTGGAGAGGACAAAGTTTTCGCTGTATTTTCTCCCTTTTTGGTCTTTTTTTCCCCAAACTGCCTTTTTCTCCTGTAGCTTTAATCATTTTCTCTGTTTGGTTTTTTTTAAAAATAGATTTCTTCATCATGTTCTAAAATCTGCAAAACCACACTCACTGCCTTCAGTCAGTTCCGACTCAGAGCAACCCTGTAAATCAGGGTAGAACTGCCCCTGTGGGTTTCCAAGACTGTAAATCTTTATGGGAGTAAAAAGCCTCATCTTTGTCTCCTGGTGGTTGTGAACTGCTGACCTTGTAATTAGCAGCAACATATTAAGCTCCATATCATGTTTGCCAAGTAGCTAGAAGTAACACTGTTGCAAATAAAGGTGTCTGTATGACTTTGCTCAAGTTTGAGACCATTTCCGGGGATACCTTTGCAGGGGCTTGTTTGAATGGGGACCTCATTTGTCTATGTTTGCATTTTCTTTTCAAGAAGCTTGACTATTCATTAGCCGAGCCAGATGTGAAGCCATTCGAAGAGAAGTTTGGAAAGCGAATTCTTGTCAGATGCAATGATTTGTCTTTCAACCTGCAATGCTGTGTGGCTGAAAATGAAGAAGGACCCACAACGAATGTAAGTTTCCTTTAACCCATGAGATACTTACTATTTTCCTAATAGTCAGAGGTTTTCAGATATGCCAGGTGGCCTTGTCCTATCTGGGTCCCCACTCATAGGTTCTAGCTTTGGGTCAAAAAGATGGCAGTGTTCGATCACTCACCAGGGTACTTAGTCTGTGGGGCCAGTCTGTTGTTGAGAGGGGACAAGGAGGGTGGGTGGATGCTCAGTGTTTCGGGAGACAGTTGTTACCTTGGATACCAGAAGAGAACACTGTCTGCTATCTGAAGAGCATACAGGGACTAGCAAAGCACTTCAACAGTAATATCATGTTCTTTTTTTTGTTTAAATCAATTTATTGGGGCTCATACAATTCATCACAATACATAGATCAATTGTGTAGAGCACATCTATACATTTGTTGCCCTCATCATTCCCAAAATTCGCTTGCCTCTTGGGTTCCCGGAATCAGCTCATTTTCCTTTCCCCCCCCTCCCTTCCTCTGCCCCCCTCCCCCAGGCACCCTTGATAATTTATACATTATTATTATATCTTATATTACACTGCCCGGCGTCTCCCTTCACCTACCCCTCTGCTGCCAATATCATGTTCTTTTGTGCCCTACCATGGTAGCCTAACCCTCTGTGTGGCAGAGAACCAGACTCCTCCGAGGCCCTGCATAGCAGTGATCCACATTAGGGCTCGCTTTCCTTGGAGAGCAGCAGCCGTCTCTTCCCCTGATAGACAGCTTCACCAAGTATTAACGCGCTGGGGTTTTTGTTGTTGTTGTTCAGGTAGAGCCTTTCTTTGTCACTCTATCCCTATTCGACGTGAAGTGCAATCAGAAGATTTCTGCCGACTTCCACGTGGACCTGAACCATTTCTCAGTGAGGCAGATGCTGGCCACCACGCCCCCGGCCCTGCTGAATGGCAGCGGACAGAGCTCGCCTGCCCTTCGGGACACCCTTCAGGAAGCTGCCATGCAGTACCCGAAGCAGGTGAGGCCACGAGCCCACAGGCAGTACTTCTAAGTGGTCTTAAATGTATTTGGGAATGCCCAAACAGGGCTTGGTCGTGCACTGTGGTGGTTGTTGTTTGTTTTTTTAACTAAAGTGTCTATCACTCCATAAACTTTCTCCTAGCTGACCCCCTACTGTAGAGATGATAAACTTTTGGTCACCGATTTGGCTCCTGGTGTTTGCTGAGTCCCTGTACTATGTCACCGTATAGGTCTGTGCCTGCTCGTGGGATTGGTTAATGTGGTTGTGAATTCTCCCCACTGATGAAAGCCGTCTGTCTCTTAGGGGGTCTTTTCAGTCACGTGTCCTCATCCCGATATATTCCTTGTGGCCAGGATTGAGAAAGTCCTCCAGGGAAGCATCACCCACTGCGCAGAGCCCTACATGAAAAGTTCGGACTCTTCTAAGGTACGCGTGCAGCTTTTCTCATCTGTTGTGGTTGTTGTTGTGGCCATCGGCCTCTGGCTCGTGGGAGCCCCATACATAAGGAAGAACAGATGCTGTCTGGTCCTGGACCAGACCTACGATCGGGGGCAGCTCACACGGGTCTCTTGCGATCCATGGGGTTTCGGCTGGCTGATTTGCAGAGTAGATTCCCAGGCCTTTCTTCCTAGCTTGTCTTGGTCTGGAAGCTCTGCTGGAACCTTTTGCTACCATAGAGACACGCGGGTCGCCGCTGACGGATGGTGCCTCTACGTGAGGCCTACTGGCTGGGAATCCTCGCTGGGTCCCCTGCACCAAAAAACAAGCAAGCAAACAAAAGGTCCCCACCCTCAAGTCACTCTGACTCACTGTGACCCTATAGGACAGAGCAGAGCTGCTCCTGTGGGTTCCAAGACTGTACATCTGCTTGGATGCATGTGTTAGACAGGGTTCTCTAGAGGGATAAAACCAAATTGCTGATAATTTAATATATTATTTATAAAGATAATTAGGTATATAACGAGAAATGAACTGTTAAATCATATACAGATAAATATACAATCTTAAATCGTATACACATAAATATACTATCATATACAGATAAATACACAAGAAATAAACAGTTAATTAGAAAGCACTACAAATGGCTCAGTGCAACTCACGTCCGTGAGAGAAAGTTGAGAGACTAGCAGTCCTTCAAGTCTCTGTCTGATGCCAGATCTTCCTCTATTTGTAGAGAGAGCTAGGCTATGTCAGCACAGCAGCCAATCACAAGGCAGGTCACCAACCGCCAGTCCCCAGCTCCAGAGATGTCTTAAAGGGACCTCAACTTACAGCGACACAGTCCACAGGCTAGGCGTCCCACAGGTAGTGTAGCCTTTAAATTGAGGCACAGAACAAGCAAGGCAGCCGCACACTGGTCCAATGATCACAGAGCGAGAGACAAGAAAAGCAAGGCTCACCAAGCCATTTATCTCTCTGGCCTTCAGTCAATCCCACCTGTGTTTATCAGCCAGGCTGGCACAATAAACTATCTCAATGCAGAAAGCCTCATCTTTCTCCCACAGAAGGACTAGTGGTTTCGAACTGCTGACTTTATGGTTGGAAGCCCAGCACATAATTCACTAGACCAACAAGGCTCCTTGGTCTTCAGCATGGGGATAAAAATTCAACCATTGAAACACCAGTGTCTTGTGTTTCTTTAAAATCAAATTGGGGAAATTATTTCGTGTTCCTCCATTTGGTCGACCAGTTATCAGTCTGTTTTTCGTGAAGGGCTAGCCTGCTGGCTTATCTCACGCTGCTGTCTGTGGTCACTGCGTGGGCCCTGACTCACAGCAACTCTATGCCCAAACGGAGGTTCTGCCGATACTTCCTGTTCATGATAGCAACACCCAGCCCCTGCTGACAGCCATGTGGTGACCGGGCATGGGATGTACTCGGAGGTGAGGTTCCTACCATTGAGTCTATAGTGCCTCGTGCTTTATGCAGATTAAAGGCAATTTGAAAAAAGATTGGTGTTTTAGTGGCTTTATGTGAACTATTCATGCATAAAAAAGTTAAAGGGAAATTGGATGTAGTATACATGTATTTATTCAGATATTTAACTTTATGTGTCTGATAGTTAATGAAAAGTGGTCCCAATGTGTAAATAAAATGCTTCGTTTAACCAGTCCATGCGGATATCCTAAAAGAATGTTCAAAGCAAGGTCAAGCTTAATGGTAGACCATCTGCCATTAAGAGATACATGTTCTATTCAGATGGAGTTCATTGCACTCATTGGCTGGGTGTCTGGGTTCTGGGATGATAGTTTGGTGCATTATATATTATTTTTATTCTCTTTATCCTTAATATTATTTGTGAGTTTAGATAGTTGTATTTTAAAGCTAAGAGGCATGATTTTACAAGTGTGTCATGATGTTGGAATGAGGGGAAATATTCTCCAAGTGAGAAATGTTCCCTGTAACTTGTAGCAATAATCAGAAGGGCGGAGTAGTGCTGTGTGTCTTCCGTGAACCCCTAGCAGAGTATTGATAATCAGGAGGGACATACTCCACCACCTGGGATCAGCCAAACAAAAGACAGTTATTATTACAAATTGAGTAATAATGGGGTGGGGAGGAGCACCTCAGAACAGTCAGAGGAGACCCACAGGAAGCCTGGGCCCCAAAACCAAGCTCAGAAGGCAGGAAGCGGCAGGGCAGAAGGACAAGGGGGAAGGGGGAGCCCAGGGGCAAGTGGGCAGAGCGTCGTGGCACGGAGGGGAGGGGGTTGCACCGATGCCGTGAGTCAAAACACACAGATTGTTGCATGGAAAGCGAGCTTTCGTATAAACTTTCATCCAAGCTCCAGTGAGCAGTTCGAACAAACCAAAGAAGACAGGTTGAGATTGGCATGTAGAAGCCCTATGTTCTTTTCTGAGGAGCAGTGCGGTGCCCTGCATTGACCCGTGCTGGCGCGGAGCATGGTGTGTTTGTAGTGGAAGAAGAGGTGACGCCGAAGCCAGATCGTGGACTAGGCCACAGAGAGCGGTTGTTTGCTTGTTTAAGAGCTTTTGCTGCTGACTGCTGAGGGGAAAGGTAGAAATAATTAGAGGGACATAGAGGCCGACCAGAGTGGAGAGTGCTTCTGATTCGGAGCTGAAGTGACTTTGGGGCCTTGCCCAGAATGTTAGCAGCAAATGGTTCTAAAGCTTGATCAAAACACTTGCTTCCTCCTCACTGCTCCACTCCAGCCCAGCCCCGCTCCCACTTGACTTTCACTTTCCATTATGGGTAGGGCTTCTCTTTCCTTTTGGAACTTGCAATTGGAAAAGAACAGAGAAAAACTCTTCAGAGGGCATCACACAGTGATGTCCGACTGCCGTCAAGTCAATTCCAACTCGCAACGAGCTACCAGGACAGAGTAGAGGCGGTAAGTGTTCCCCACAGCAGCCAGCCTCATGTTTCCCTGTGGAGCTAATGTTAAGTTTGAACTGCCAACCTTGTGATTAGCAGTCCAACGCTTAACCCGCTGAGCCACACGGGCTCCTGCTAGGAGCAGCAGGAGTGAGACAGGGATAGCAGGGAGAGGAAATGTGTGGATGTCTGCATAAATGTCTGCCGAGGCTTGGGGAAAGTTCCATTGTCTTCATTCGTCTGAATTGAAAGCGCTGAGCTATGAACAGTGAGAACAACAGGAGCCGTTGGAGACTAGGAGATGCTATGGACTTAGATGGTCTGGCTAAGTAATGCTGGTGATGCCCAGCCACTTGGTTTTGTCCAGAAGGACAGGGTTATGGTGGCAGAGGGGGATATAACCTCAGGTAGACGAGGGAAACGAAACATTTAAGACATATGTTTGCTGTATCTCCCAAGGAGTGTCCACTACTTGGGGGGCGTGTGAGTGTGGTTTGCACCACTTTTAGTTTTGTAAGCCGGTCATCTTAGGGCTGGCCGGATGCCTTGGCTGGGGAGCTGGGCAGCAGGAAGAATGGATGCCCTGAGGTTCCAGCCTGTGGCCATGGGGTCGATTCAGAGCTTTGTCTCTTCCTTCTCGGTCACACATATGTCATACCTGGATCCACTGAGGTGCCGGAGGGTCCTAGGAATCAGAGAGCTGGAGACACGTGGCTGGTAACCAGTCTGGGTGCTGGAGACAAATCGCTTTACCTAACCGGCCACAGATGACCCATCTGTGGATAAAGGGTGAAGCTACTGCCTCTTCCTGTGTTCCTCCCTGGGACCGTGTCAGGACCCACCAGAGACTACCGAGCAACCAGACGGTGCTGTGTACACTGCACCACACCAGGTGCACGAAGACGCTGTCTTTAATTACAGCTCTAGCCAGGTAGCGCCCGTGTACTCAGACATGTTGCTTCCAACAGTAAGCATTATGGCTGAGGAAAGTTTGCTCTCTGGAGATAAGGTTTTTTTTTCCGCTTTGACCAGGTCTGTCGAACCTCGAATGAGATTGTTTAGCTCTTTAATGTTTTCAGTAATAATCAGTGAAATCCCCAAATGAAACTGCCTCCACTGACGGTGTGTGCGATGCTTTCCAAAGCCCCTGCGAAGGTCATTGTGTTACCTCTGCCTGTCCCCGCCGCACACTGTTTAGTCTGTATCTGAGATGGGTGCACACAGCCACCCTCCCTGCGGGCTGGACTCCCACTGTCACCCAGCGTCCGCTGCGGTCTGCTTTTCTTTCCTCACTTATCCAGGTGTTCATTTCTCTATCGCTTCCAAAGTAACAGGAAAGCTGGTTAGGCAGAACATCTGGCAGGAAATGGGAAGAGGCAGAAGATGTGACAGAGGACTTGTTCTCTTGTATAGCAAACCTTTCGTGTTTTCCAGTATTACACACACACACACACACACACACACACCCCGGGGGACGGAATGGTCCAGAGGGCTGCAAAAGCAGGTCCTTATACTTTCTACCAGGAGCCATGGTTGTATAGTGGTTACACATTGGGCTGGAAACGGCAAGGTCAGCAGTTCGAATGCACCAGCCACTCCACGGGAGAAAGAGGAGGCTGTCTACTCCTGGGAAGAGTTACCATCTCAGAAACCCACAGGGGCAGGTCTACCCTGGCTTATGAGCTCGCTATGAGTCGGTATCAATTAGCAGTGAGAAACACTTTATGGTAGATGATGGGCCAGCGTGCCATTGAGTGAAAAATTTTCTTTCCTGAAAAGGGGATGGGAGGCCAACTAAGTCTGGGAGCCTCTGGTCTAGAACCGAGGTCGGCAAACTTTTAAGACCAAAGAGCCAATCCCGTCCCTCACAGCAATTAAAAAAATTATTTGAGAGCCGTAAGTATATTGTAAATGAAGCCACCGTTATCTGAATAATACCCTATAAAGTTTTTCCATTTCACGCCAGAGCCGCAAGCACGTCCTGACAGACCCGCATGGGCTCAAGAGCGCAGTGTAACGACCCCCGCCTAGGACATCAATTAGAGGAAAGTTTTGCACTGGAGAAAATTTGTATGAAAAGTTTTTGTAGGGCCTACCATGAATAGATTAGAATTAGAGAGGACAGGAAGCGAGGGAGGAAAATGGAAAATAAATGACTAAATAACCCACCCTAGCTTTCATGCATACCATCTCCTGCTCTCTTCCTCCGAGGGCTAGTCTCAGAGTGCAGCCCGTGTTAGCTCCAGGAAGAGGGAAGCTTAACTGATGCGTGTTTTAACTTTAAAATGTATACACATCTGAAAATAATAGCTCTCATCCCAAAACTGAATCCCAGGAAGATAGACCGTTTTGCATAATGACTGCATAGACTAGAGAGAGACCTCCTTTTGTCACCTTCCAACAACCGCAGCTCGCTGTCAGCTCGATTCTCCTTCACGACAGCCCGTGGGTCTCCGAGTCTGTAAGCCTGTCTGAGCTGCAGCGGCTCACCTGGCTTCCACTGTCACCTTGGGGAGGCTGAATTATATCCTGGCTCAGAGAGGGCTGAGATGATTCCCCAGCACAGAGTTATGTTCTTGGTTCATCACAGAGGCAGCGAGGTTCATAGCATGGGGATGGTGGAATCATAACGATTTTCAATAGAAGATACTGACACGGATAGCCAAGCTCCCACCTTTGTATTGAGGCACATCTGGGCAGACCCAGCCCTCCATCCTGCCCATTAGTAGCCATGTGTGTAACCCTTTGCACCACTCAGGGAGACCTTGATACACGTATGTGGAGTAAAAGACCTTCAACTGACAGCCCTGACTCTGAATTCATCTAATTTTGCAGTATTGCAGTACAATCAAACTAGGGAAAGTTTTGTATGATCTGCTCTAGCAGTTGGTATATATTTGATTAATAATAGAAGGACCAGGCACGTGTACTTTAGGACACAAGTAAATAGACTTCACTGTGCACTTAGGCTTAATAGACCCACAACCAGCCACCATTGGTCCCCAGGAAGTGAAAACAGTGGTAATTTATGCTGGAAAAGTAAGGACCTTGCAATTGACTATCCTGACCCATTGAAGTCAACACTCATATGCCTTCATAATGGATTCTCCCCCAAATTGTGGGAATGGGCATAAGTTAGGAGCTGCAGAAGCTTAGTAGTTTTGAATATTTAATTACAACTCTCCGAAAAAAACGTGCCGCCATCAAGTCATTCCTGACTGAGCTAGCAGTGTAATCCCTTTCGGCATGAATACCACATGCTAAGAACTATCCACAGCTTGCTGAGCCAATGAATGCTAAGCCCTAGTCCTAAGGAACTGTGAGAGCCTATGAAACGGTGTGCCTGTTGCCTCTGAAGAGCAAAAAAAAGAGGTGCGTTTTGGACACAGTCCTTATGCAGTCAAGAGGAGAGGCTCTCAGGACGGCCGGTTGTGGTCCAGTTGGGTCACTGCTACCAAATGCCGCAAACAAAAGACTGTGTTGAGTGTCAGTCCATCCGGCCCTATTCTTGCCTGTGGGATGCCTTTTCTCCCCGTACTTCTGGTCCTTTGCTTGTTTCATGAATGTGTGATGATGGTTCTTTATATCATAATTCTTCTGCCATTGGTCGCACTTTCTCATCCTTTGACTCTGATGTCTTCAAGGTTGCTCAGAAGGTGCTGAAGAATGCCAAGCAGGCATGCCAAAGACTAGGACAGTACCGAATGCCGTTTGCTTGGGCAGCAAGGTAAGGCGCGCTCCTCTCGTACCTTTTGTATAGATAGATGGGTGTGGATAAGCAGAGACAAGGCAGCCTGTTCGGTTTGAGTTGTCCAGAGACAATGAGGACTTGAACATGTATACTGGGAAGAGCAGTGGTGCACAAATCTGCAGAGATAACGTACTGGTCTCACAGAGAGGAAAGTGCCTGGAGGGCACTGTGTTGAACCTAGCAGAGCAGACAGGAATGTTTGCTGAAGGGCTGGCCTCCCAGTCCCAGCCACCCGGCTCCAACCAGGAGTAGGGTGACCGGCCTCTGCTTCGTAAGGACTTGATTACGCATGCTGCTCCCTAAGCACAAGCCACTGGCTATGGCAATTTTCTACGTAAATGGAGTTAGTTGTTCGTCCTCATTGTAGCTCCCATGTTTTTAGGTTAAGGGATTGCCGTTGTCCCTTGACAATGGAATAATCATTGGTCTTCACGTAGAAACCTGAGTTCAGCTGTGGATTAATTGTTGGCCCTTTGAAAGCCTGATATAGAAATGTTTCTTTGATACTTCAGGACATTGTTTAAGGATGCATCTGGAAACCTCGACAAGAATGGCAGGTTTTCTGCTCTCTACAAGCAAGACAGCAATAAGCTATCAAACGATGACATGCTCAAGTTACTTGCAGACTTCCGGAAGTGAGTAGGTCTTATTTATTTGCACACCTGAAAAACAGAAGTTGTGGGGTGGGAAGGAAGTCTTTTAAATTGCTCGGGAATCTTAGGAGATGTTCGAATGGCAGCAGCACCTGCTCATGCTCTTGGGAAGGAGCATAAACAACACTGCTTTCTTTGCCATGAGCCCAGAGAGGGTTGTGCTGAGCTACCATTACCAAACATTTAACCGGAGATTCCCATCGAGGCAGCCTGGTCCAAGGGAGCGTTACAGGGCAGGATTTCTCATTTTCATTGACTGCAGACTTTCTGGTACACTAGATGGTGGATGAACCCCTGAAACTGTTGCCCTGAGGTCTTGTCTTGATTTTCCCCTTTCATTTGGGGTCCTTAATGACTTTAATATAACCCTGATTTTCCCTCCACTCACTTAATTTCCTCATAAGAACCCAATAGACCATCGTAGAACTGCTCATATGGGTTTCCAAGGCTGTTAATCTTTATGAGGTCAGCAGATGCATTCTGCCCCTCCCCCCTTGAACTCTAGCCCATATCCAAGAACAGTTCGTTCTGATAACAGGGCCCTGCTCGATACTCACCTGTATGAAATGATCACTGACGATAAGGGTGCTACAGCAAAGTGTGGTGAAGAAAGCAGATGGTGCCTGGCTCTCAATCAGGATAGTGTCTGGGGTCTTAATGCTTGTATTCAAACAAGCAGTCATCTAAGCGAGAAGTCAACCAAGTCCACATGGAAAAAGCACACCAACTCGTGTGATCCATAGCAGAATGACCGTAACAAGATGCCCATAACAAAATGCAAATATGACGAAAGGCTATGGGGGCTCGAACAACTCTCATCACAAATCCATACATACATCCATTGTGTCAAGCACATTTGTACATTTGTTGCCATCATCATTCTCAAAACATTTGCTTTCCACTGGAGTCCTTGGTATCAGCCCCTCATTTTTCCCCCTCCCTCCCCTCCTTCATGAACCCTTGATAATTTATAACTTCTTATCATTTTGTCATATCTTACACTGTCTGACATCTCCGTTAACCCAGATCTCTGTTGTCCATTCCCCAGCTAGGAGGTTATATGTAGATCCTTGTAATCAGTAACCCCTTTCCACCTCACCCTCCCTCTACCCTCCCAGTATCGCCACTCTGGTCCTGAAGGGATCATCTGTCCTGGATGCCCTGTGTTTCCAGTTCCTATCTGTACCAGTGTACATCCTGTGGTCTCACCAGATTTTTAAGGTAGAATTGGGATCATGATAGTGGGGCAGGGAGGAAGCATTTAAGAACTAGAGGAAAGTTGTATGTTTCATCGTTGCTACACTGCAGCCTGACTGGCTCGACTCCTCCTCGTGACCTTCTGTAAGGGGATGTCCAGTTGCCCATAGTTGGGCTTCAGGTCCCCAATCTGCACTCCCCTTCATTCACAATGATATGATTTTTTTGTTCTTTGATGCCTGATACCTCATCCCGTCAACACCTTGTGATCACACAGGCTGGTGTGCTTCTTCCATGTGGGCTTTGTTTCCCTGAATACTTATGAAAGTGTTACACATGCTTATACATTACTTTTATTGCCTCCATAACAATTCATTAAGCAGATAGGCCACACATTATTTAACTCTTCCCTTGTTTTTGGACACTTATAGTGTTTCTAATTTTTCAGGATTATAAATACAATCATATTAAATGTGTTTTTTTAAACCTCCTTTTATTGATAATACATAATATATAGTCATACATACTGTAATGACATACAGTAGTTACTGTTTTATTTCTAGCAAACTTTTGGCCATGCATATAGAATAAGAAGTATTTTGCTTTTATTAAAACCAATCACGTTTGGCTAAATAGATTCAAGTATTTCCTTCACTACAATATGAAACAAGTATTAAGAAAGATGTATGTCCATGTGTACTCTGGACAGTGAGCACATGATATGTTAGAGAGGAAAAATAAATCTACGTGGCCTACTTGTTAATGTTACTTCTTTATTTTCGTATCTAAGTGAATAAATTGGTATGTAAATAGTTAGCTGTGTGGAGAGACAAGCAGGCCAACAATTATCCATTTAGGATATGCCCAAGCCCAGCCCACTGCTGTTGAGTTGATCTCGACTTGTCAGGGCCCTGGAGGCCAGAGGAGAGCTGCTGTAATCTCCACAGAAGCAGGCTGCCTCCTCTTCTTCCCGGGGAGGGGCGACCGTGTGGGAGCCACTGGCCCTTGAGTCAGCAGCCCTTGCTTAATCTGCCGTGTCACCAAAGCAGCAATGTGCACCACAGTATCGGCCGATCATGGTCATCTCTTAGGCTCGGTGGTTTTTCATTTTCCACTTTATGAAAGATCTCTTGATCTTTTTAACATTACCAGTTGCTCTTGGATTCAAAACAAACAGGCACAATGAAGTTTTAAAAATTGTGATGGAGGTTGGGAACCCTAGCCGATCATGAAAGGACAGATAGGACATGAGACCACAGTTTTAGAAGGGGCCGTGCCGGTGGGGGCTGGTGGAGGGGGTAGTGGGCGGCAAGATAAAAGACTTCCGTGCCAAAGGGAACAGAGTTTGGAGATTGTGGGAGAGGTGGGGGTGGGGGGGGAAGATTAAGCAATGGGCTAGACTGTCGATGGGTGTTGCCCTGCGTGTAATGGCAACCAATGTACCAATGTGCTTGACGCAATGGATGGATGGATGGATTGTGATGAGAGCTGTACGCGTCCCCAATAAAATGATTTTTTAATAAATAAATAAAATGGAATAAAAGGGGGAAATGCAAAAAAAAGCAAGAGAGAGCCACTTCAAAAAAAAAGAAAGAAAAATAGCAGTACACAAGAAAAAGAGATCAGAATGGCTGGAGGATAGACCATTGGGGGATTTGATTCGTAGTTTAAACTGTTGGATACAGAGTTGATGATCTAAAACGTATGCTCCCACTGAATTTGCAATTCAAAACTGTTATTTTTTTTAAAAAGCCATTCTCTCCTGAGCTTGTTAGCTCAAGACTTCCCTCCCACACCGGCCCTTCAGACAGCCCTAGATCAGGGTCTGTCTTCTGGGGCCGTTGGGCGGTGGGGTTTACAGGATGATTATTATCGCAAAGTGATCTGAGCTCAAAGCCTAGGCCAACCTCTGGGAGCGCAGGCCTTCGTGGGCCGAGAACCCCATGAGAGTGTTTTCCCTTCCTGCCTGTGCTCCTTAACGAGGGGCTAGTTGGTAGAGTGTGCTCCAGATGGCTGGTGAACGCCCCAGAATCATGAAAGTCAGGACTAGATTCAAGTAGCATCAGAATATGCACAGTGCAGGGGGGGGGGGCTGCTGAGGGTGGGGACCGGCAAGCAGTAGCCTTCTGTGTGAGAATCCAGAATCATGGCTGCGAATTCCACTAAATGAGGAGGAAAAGCCGTCTGGAGGTGAGATGGTGGAACATTTCCTCGTGGCTAGTGACAGCTGAGGCCCTTACGATGTTAGAGAGGGGACTCCTGTCTGGGACTGAGGTTAGGACAAATACTAAAGCAAACATTGGGAGAACACCCAGTTGGCACTCGGCACGTTGCTAAATGACTTCCAGTTCTACATTTTGGTGGCTCTGCACGAGCCCAACGTGTATGATCCAGGAGCACTCTATTCAGTGGTACCCCTCGTGCTGAGATTCATTACGCGGAGGCCTTTGTGTTTAACCTGATAACCACTAACCCCAGGTGGCTGTTGAGCCCTGGGAACACTGAGATGTGCTACTGGACGTGTAAATACACATCTGCTTTCAAAGACTTAGAATGGACATGTTTATACTGATCACCTGTTGAAATAGGCATGCGAATTTATTAGGTAAAATAAAATGTGCTCTTAGGATGAATGTTCCCAATTTCTTTGTCCTTTGAGTAGAAGGGCCCTTGCGGTTTGCATGATCTTTGCCTTGGGAGCCCTGCACTAGAACTAACATATCTGACTTTCTCTCCGTTCGGTTTCAGACCTGAGAAGATGGCGAAACTCCCGGTGATTTTAGGCAATCTTGACATTACCCTGGACAACGTTTCCTCCGACTTGCCTAGTAAGTGCTCCGTCCTGCGTAAGAAGCAGACACCGTGTTGTTCCGTTGTGTTTGACTTCCGTTTGCTTTGCTTTCATCTCTTTCTAGATTACGTTAACTCATCATACATTCCCACGAAACAATTTGACACCTGCACCAAAATCCCCATCACGTTTGAAGTCGAGGAATTTGTGCCCTGCATCCCCAAACACACTCAGCCGTACACGGTCTACAGCAATCACTTGTATGTTTATCCTAAGTACTTGAAATATGACAGTCAGAAGTCCTTTGCCAAGGTGAGTGCAAAGAGGGGTGAGGGGGCTTTCATTTTGGATATCAAATTCTCTCTTGGGATTTGGCGTCTCCTGCTCCTTTTAAAATACTTACATATTCTCTTTGTTTTGGTGCCTCCTCACCCCTCTCCCCCTTCAAAACTGCTGCAGGCTAGAAATATCGCTGTTTGCATCGAATTTAAAGATTCCGATGAAGAGGATGCTCAGCCTCTGGAGGTGTGTCTTTCTTGTGTATATTCACATGCATCATCTCATTTTCCCATTTAAAATGATATTGTACAACTGAAGGATTTTGAGCACGTTTTAACTGACACGAAAATAGCTAACTGTACATGGGAAATAACCATGTGTGCTGAACCAAACAGAATGTGGAATTATTCAGCTTTCGCTCCTCATTCATGGTTTCTGTTTTGTTATACATTTTTAGGGATGAAGGTTTCTTATTCATACGCTAGTCGGTTGATATTTATTGCCCGCCGCCATGAGCCAGGCATTGCGTGGGTATTAGGACAGGCATTAGGCAGATTGATCGCAACAGTCGTGAAAGATGAACTATAAGCCAGTTGTCTTTGAGCCATCCCAACTCATGAAGACACTCCGTGTGTGTCAGCGCAGAGCTCTGCTGCTCTCGGGCGGCAGTGGCTGTCTTCTGGGGCGGCTGGGCGGTGGGGTTTGCAGGATGATTCTCATCGCAAAGTGAGCTGAGCTGAAAGCCAAGGCCAGCCTCTGGGGGTGCTGGCCTTCATTCAAAAGGAGGCTGCCCGGCTTTTCTTCAGGGGCAGCTCTCAGTGATCTCAAATCTCCGTCCTCTTAGCGAGCCGTGAAGTATGTTATATTCTTGTCCACCACCCACGGCCTCCAAATCAAACTCCGATTGCTGTGGTCCACGCCAACTCAGAATGACTTCATCTCTATCAGAGCAGACCTGTGAGCCACGAGTGCCTGCACACTGGCTTCTTTTCAGAAGCAAATATCCAGACCTTTCCTGTGAGGTACCTCCTGGTGGACTTTAGCCTCCGATTTCTTGGCCAGCAGCCAGTTGCATTAACCAGATGCATCACTCAGGGACTTTGGATTAGTAGTAGATGACCTTTATTATGTTATAGTAGTAATGACAGTAGTAGATAATGGGTGGCTTTTTAAATACGCCTTACATTATAAGCTCTTCTCTTAGTGCTTTATGTATACATTCTCTTCTTCTCATGATCTTTTGAGTTAGGTATTATGAGTAGTATTACCTACCCACAGTTTTTTTGGCAGAGGAGACTAAGGTAGAGAATTTCAACAAATTGTTTCTGGTCCCATATTAACATTAATGAAAAGAAAAGCTCAGTGCCACTGAGAACTAGTGACAGAATTGAACAGAATGTGCTATAGATTAAAATAGAACTGTCCTTACGGGTCTCGGAGACTAAATCTTCATGGGAGTAGAAAGTCTTATCCTTCATTACCTGGAATTCAAGGCCAGGCAGTCTGCCTCCAGAACTCACATTCTTTGTGGTAACTGTCAAGATGACTAGCAAAGGGAAACAAAGATAAAAAGGAATAAAATACAGATTTGTCCCTTTGTCGGCAAGGATTCAGTTTAGTAAGAAACACTATTATGGGGGGAAATTATACGTAATAAGTAATCCTTGGTCACACGGAAGGTTTTGAAATGTTTGTTAATCGTTTATTGGGGCAGGACAGAATAATTATTGTACAAGGTGTAAAGGGGGAAGAATAAAGAAGAGCCCTGATAGCATAGTGGTTATGCACCGGGCTGCTAGACACAAGGTCAGCAGTTTGAAACTACCAGCCACTTCTCAGGAGGAAAGGAGGCTTTCTCCTCCCAGGAAGAGTTAGTCTTGGAAGCGCGCGCGGGCAGTCCTACCCTATTCTACAGAGCCCTGATGAGTCAGGATTGATTTGGCAGCGGTGAGTTTGGCTGAAGGGGGAGATGCTATGTTCTGCAGGAGCACCTCGTTCTGTACAGCATTTCCGAGCCCCATGTCTTGGTTTCTATGGACTGCTGTGTTTTGTCTTTGTGCACCCTCATCTCAGAGCATTTATGGCAGACCTGGCGGGCCAGTGTTCACGAGAAGCGCCTTTGCTGCGGTTTTACACCATCACCAAAACCCAGAATTTTATGATGAGGTAAGAGAGGTTTTCTAGGGAAAACTCGAGTTTTAGACCTGTTCTAAATGGCTCCAGGCCATCCGTTCAGGAAAACAAAATTTAAGAGTTGCTTCAATCTGCTGTACTGAAACTTTGCAGTGATGGGATGGATCGTCTTGAAGTATTTCTAGAACTAAATATTGAAGTGTTTATTTAATATGTTTTTCCAATAATAAAAGTAGCATACTTGTGAAAATAATTTGGAAGCTGCAGATAATATAGAGCAGACATGATATATTTCCCAACATAATCTTCATCACCACTCTGTTTAATGTCATAGCATGTTTATTTTCAGATTCGTAATTAAGTGTACAGACCAAATGAAGCTCACTGCCATTGAGTCCATGCTAACTCATAGTGACCCTTGGTGAGTTTCCAAGCCCGAAACTGTTTATGGGAGTAGAAGCCCAGTCTTTCTCCCAAGGAACTTCTGGTGGTTTCGAACTGCTGACCATGCAGATAGCAGTCCACCACGTCACCACTACACATCCTCATTTTATTGCTCTGTCCTTACAGACACTGGGCTTTTTTAGGAATCAGAGGTTTGTGGCAGCCCGGGCTGAGAAAGTCTCCGGGCATGCTTTCACAGCAGCGTGTGCTCATCTTGGGTCTGTGTCTTGTTTGGGTCATTTTTACAGTATTGAAATCTTTTTTCCATCATGCTATTGCACACTGCCTAGCCAGACTACATTATAACTATAACTCTAGATGCACCGGAAACCAAGCATGCCTCGTGCCTTGCTTTGTGCTGTTCGCTTCATTGCGGTGATCTGGTGTGGAGGCTGCAACGTCTCCTTGGTAAGGCTGAATGTGTGGTCTTGGTCCTGAGACTGTGTTTCTTACCATTGCTTTGGCTTGTGTCGAACTGAGCAGTGTATTTCATTAAAGCCACAATATGAATTCTAGTTTTATACATTCTATTATGGTTTTCAAAAAACCATAACCAAAAAACGTTAACCCTGGTAATGTCATGGTAACTCATGGGGCTGCTAACTGCAAGGTCAGCAGATGGAGACCAGCAGCTGCTCTGAGAGAGAAGGAGGAGACTGTCTACTCCCGTACAGAGCTACAGTCTTGGAAACCCACAGGAGTAGTTCTACCCTCTCTCTAGGGCCGCCATGGTCGGCATCAACTTGATGGCAGTGAGTTTGGTTTACTCAGTTAGCATAAGCTGGCCTAGTAGTGTCTGTGTTTTGCATACTAATGCTTTTTCAGAGTTGAAAATACGCATCGGCCCTTCTTCTGTTTCCAGTCTGAATGAAGGAGCCTTTTCCTCCTTGGCAAGAAGTGCAGTCTCAGAGGGCTGTGAATGCACACGTTCCTATCATTCTGGAGAACAAGCTCACCTTTGTGTATTGAGTGGCACGTTCGTTGTGACACTGCGCTCCCTGGAGATTCTTGTTCATTGTTTTTGGATGTTAGAAGGATTGTTCTTTTTGCCTCCCTCGCAGATTAAAATAGAATTACCCACCCAGCTCCACGAGAGGCACCACTTGCTGTTCACATTCTTCCACGTCAGCTGTGATAACTCAAGTAAAGGAAGCACAAAGAAGAAGGACGTGGTCGAAACACAAGGTTTGGGACCTTCCCTTCCCTGGGCTGTCATGTGCTGGCCTTAGTCTGTGCTGGCACCCTTCAGCAAAAGGGTGAAGGGAGCAGCATGGCCGGAGAGCGGCATGCCTCTGTTGCATCTGTAGATTTTTATACGTCATGGCTTTAGGATCCTAATCCCAAAGAGAACAAGCCACGTTGTAGACGTTGTTCAGCAGACACCTTTGACATGCTTTACCGTGATTGATATGAACCGTTCTTAAAGGTCAGGTGGTGTGGTGACACTGACCTTCTTCCCCCAGTCCCTGTGCACTCATGGTGGGCTTTGCCCTTCCTTGTTCTCAACAGTTGGGTATTCCTGGCTTCCGCTCCTGAAGGATGGAAGGGTGGTGACGAATGAGCAGCACATCCCCGTGGCGGTGAACCTTCCATCTGGCTACCTTGGCTACCCGGAGCTTGGGATGGGCAGGGTAGGTGCATTGTCAGATTGTTGGACCCCAATTCAGGCAGAAAACAGGACAAAACAACCCAAATATCAAACCTCCCCTCTCCCCAGCCACCCCGACCTCCACCACTCATGTAGACACAAAAAAACACAGCGTTCTTGCTAGTGCCAGCACTTTGGTTTCGGTCATTCCTTTCCAGTCTAACAGACCATTGAAAGGCATGTTGTTAACAGTTATCATAATCTCAGAATTATTATAGTTGGACTATAATTGTATAAGCCCTGAACTCCCGCAAAGAGTTACAATCTTGGAAACTCACAGGGTCAGTTCTGTCCTGCTGTATAGCAGTGGTTCTCAACCTTCCTAATGCCATGACCCTTTAATACAGTTCCTCATGTGGTGGTGACCCCAACCATAAAGTTATTTTCATTGCTACTTCATAACTGTAATTTTGCTACTATTATGAATTGTAATGTAAATATCCGATAGGTGGGATATATTTTCATTGTTACAAATTGAACATCATTAAAGCATAGTGATTCATCACAAAAACAATATGTAATTATATATTGTGAAATATTTATTTCTAATGACAAATAAATGAAATTTTGTCTTGAAGCGTGGTGTAGCATGGCTAACAGTCTTCACGCTGGGTACTCGTATGTGGATGTATGTATCTGCATGTGGGCGGACCCGCCTGGACATGGATAGAGGAGCAGTGTCTTGGTTCTTAAGACCATCAGAAATATGTGTTTTCCAATGGTCTTAGACAACGCCTGTGAAAGGGTCGTTCGACCCCCCAAAGGGGTCCCGACCCACAGGTTGAGAACCGCTGCCCTCTAGTATGGCTATAAGACAGAATTGACTCCATGACAGAGGGTTTGGTTTTTTGCGTTTGGATCTCACAGTCCCTCTGCAGGGAACTGAAGACATGGAGCTGCTACATGAGGTCGAAGTCTGTCTCTGCCAGTAACCAGGTCATGTGTAAACAGGCACGCTGGTCGGCATTTCCTTCTAGCATGTTGGAAGTTCTCATCCGAGGGTAGCCAGGAAGATAACGCACTGATTGATTAAAGCGTAGTCTCACCCAGACTCCTCCAGTAGGTTTGTTGGTCTTGTTTTTAGCGATCTTGAAAGTTATAGATTTTAGTTTTATGACATCTGCTAAGATCGGCTTCCCTTTGTTGGAACTTAAATGGTGTGAGATGTGGGCCCGTATTATGAACAGGTAGTTAAAGATGTCAAATTAGCCTTAGTCTGAGCATGAGAAAAATAGAGGTTTCAGAAGTTAAAATCCTTATATACGAGCCTTTGCCTGTACCGGACATACTTACAGTCTTGCTTGCTTTATCTGGACTCTTCGGTCCTCCTTCTCAGAATCCTGGCCTCAAACTGGCGAAGCCACTGGTAGAACAGGATTCCTCTCCTTTCAAATGGACAGTAACTTCTACAGTGGCCACTACCTAGAAAGGATAACAGAAAGCACAGGAGAAAGCGTGCTGGACGAGGCTTCGGGGAGTAGGGAAGTGGGTAGAGGGTGGCGTTCTACACATCGCATTTCGCTCTAGACCAAGCACAGCTAGCAAGTCATTGAAGCTGTTTGGGCCGCCAGCAGCTCATCAGAACACTAATTACTGACCGAGATCATGCCTGAAGTCAAGAGCGCTAATCTGATATCTCTTCTGCCGTATTTTTCCCCCCAGCATTATGGTCCAGAAATTAAATGGGTAGATGGAGGCAAGCCACTGTTGAAAGTTTCGACGCACCTGGTCTCTACCGTGTACACTCAGGTACGATGCTAATCTGCTAAGAGGAACTCTGGTTTCTCAGCGACTAAGCGGCAACATTAATTTCTAAGACAACATTCTAATTGATTATGCTACAGGTATATGTGTATCCTATAAGTCTTTTCTCCTCCTCCTTGTTCTTCGTTAAAAAGAGTACCAGTAAGTCAAAAAGTATTGCTGTTCAAGATCTAGGTCATACATTCATGGATTGATTTGTTTATTTTTACAAGCTGTGTTTGAACCTGTCTCTGTGACCGGTGGGTGAGTGCAGACAAATGCTCTCATTAATACACTTGAGTCGGCCTCATTGTGGTGCCTTCAAAAGAAAAAGGGTCCAATCTAACCAGGGGCTCCCAAGGGGATCTGCTGGCCAGTTACTTTCAAGGCAGAGAGATCAGTTCAGAAGACAACGGTTTGTTTTCTGAAATGACACAGGACCACCATGGGGGCTCATTATGAAAACACTTTGAAGAAAAACACCAAAAACGTCATTGGTGAGGAAAAGGCAAGACCATTGCACTGAGGATGCTTGCTCAATCACAAAATGCACCGTTGTTTGTTGAGGGTCAAAAGGACTGTCCTACGAGAATTCCTTTGGGAAACTTTATCCCATCCACCTGATAACCCTGATCTGGCCCCCTTAGACATTATCTTTGTGTTCCCCGAAGTCAAAGAACGTTGAAAAAGAACACACTTTGAGTTCTGCGAGGATGCTCAACCTGCCGTGTTGACCTGGTGGGAATTGAAAGGTACAGAATTCTTCAGAAGGGGTTAGAGGTGGAGACACGGTCTACAGAAGTGTATGGCTTAGATAAAGGACACATCGAGAAACAGTAGCTGCACATTTTGATGGCTTTATTTAATGAATGTTTCTATGATTTGATAGCAATACTTTTGACTTACCCTCTGCATGCCAGGCACTCATGTGCGTTGATATAAAGAAACAGTGCCAATAACATTTCCTCAAAAAAAAAAAATTTTTTTTTCCTCTTTTGTTGACAAACTTGCTGGTCGTTCGATGTTGTCATTTCTAGGTGATCGGTGTCATATTCTAACAAAGATATGTATGCTACATGAAACATTTCCTCAGAATCTGTGTTTAAAAAAAGTCTTCTTTTTTCTAGGATCAGCATTTACATAACTTTTTCCAGTACTGTCAGAAAACGGAATCGGGAGCCCAAGCCTTAGGGAACGAACTTGTAAAATACCTTAAGGTACAGACCGCCTTTTTTGTAACTATGTTTTTATTTTACTTATTTTCTTTTTGATGAAAATATGCACAAAACAGCATCCATTCACTAGCTTCTACGTGACTAGTTCACTGAGAGAGGTTACACGTGTCTTACTGGTCAGAATTCTCACCATTTCTACCCGTGTTTTTTCACCACCGCTAACAGACTCGCTGCTTCGTGAAGTGCTATCTGTGCTCAAGGGTTACTGTTGTCAACTTGATCTTTTAAAAAATTAATTCTTTAAGAAAATTATTTCTTTTAAAAAGTTCCTTATGCAAGGAAAACCTTCTTTATCAATGAAGTTAAGCCACTGTTTAGTTAAAACATGTCATCATGGAATATTTTTTGTTCAAGATTTTAACAGTGTTCCCAGATGATAGGTTTTAGGGGTCCAGCCAATCTCATTGAACCCAGTAGGTTTGGCCTCCAGTAGAACTTTAAGCTGTTTCACAGTTTCTCTCCTTTTGATCAGAATTCAGCTCTTGAGTTCTTGATCGAAACATTCAGCAATGGTTGCTGGGCACTATCTATTTCTTAGGATCTCATGGCAAAGAGACATTGGATGCAATTAGATCTGCAGTCCCTGTCTTCCTCTTGTCCCTGGGACTCCTCCTTTCTCTTTTCAAATAGGCACCAATTGTTGTGTCACATGGGACAGTTGGCAAGCTTTTAAGAATAC